CAAAATCCGCAATTTTCATATGCAGGATTTAGCAGTAACCAAAAACGGAGAGTAAATGTCCAGATTCCTCGTGACAAAGCAATTGGAAAATTTGTTGGTTACGGTACGTAAGAACCCGATAGAAGGAGGAACTGCTGACGTATTCTTTCGATTTACAATTCCTCGTGGTCTCCCTCGAAATCCGCTTGACTTTCGTTAGACTAGTTCCCTATATCGGAAGCAGCATCCTCGCGAGTTGGTCATTCAGCTTCTCACGTGTCCTACGACAGGACGAAGAAAGGGAAGAATGAAAGAGGGGGAAAGAGATAGGTAGATCAATGCCGTTACACTGCAATGCTGCCACACGCTATTCCATTTCCTTCCGTCCCGGTCGAGCGCAAAGGGAGCTTTCAGAACGGAGGGTTCGTTCGTTTAGGTGAAACGGAACGTCGCGATGTAGGTCGCCAACGACGATGTCATGGTAGTCACGAACGAGAGAAATTCCTCGACCAGAGCCACGATCGAACGAACACGCCGTTCGATCAATGGGCCGTCGACATTGATTTCATCCCATTTACCCAGACCAGCTTGCACACCTTTTTTTTCTTCTTCTTCTTTCGCTCCTTATTCGATGAATGAAGGCGCAAGAGCTCGTTACCGGCGGAGAACTTCGCTGGCTATTAATTAAGCGATCGTTTGGGATGAATTAGAAGTTGTTTTCTTAATGCCATCGGTTGGAACGGGATTTCCAAAGATGCTGTTGACGAACAACTTTGATTCTATTGTTGTACTTGGAGTTTCACGGGAGATCCGCCTGGAAGACGATTGTCCAAAATACCTGTTTAAACGGAGACCGTTATTACGCTACCCTCGTAGGAGATTAAATAAAGAGACGGAATCTAATTAGAAATCGGTGAGCACGCGAGCGCTATAATCGGAACCGTCGCGTAAGTTTGCGGATGCTCGGGGCGAAAGTTGACGTTATTGGGAAGTTACGAGTTCTCTCACGTAGCAGATTTCCGACCCTATTGGTCGATGCGTTAGATTAAACAAACCTTGTCAAATCTGTCTGAAAACTAACTCGATACAAAGCCGAACCCTAGCAATACGACGCCTTGTCATATTCTCCGTCTGATCAGCGTCCAAATCCCGGCGGTGCAGGAATTACGAATTAATTTGTCTCCCTCTGAACGCGGGGCCCAGGACAAATGCCCCGTTTACTCGACTATAACGCCGGCGGAACTGGTCATAATTATTACACGAGTTCTGATTAAGCTTCGAATTTGTTACGTAATAATAATGACTCGTCGTTCACGTTCCTCGTGAACCGTGTCCGATATTAATACTCGAACGAGCACTTTTAATGAGACCGGGCGAAAATATAGGTAGCTGAAACAAGTAGTACGAGGCAGAATTTAGCCGCGGTGCACGTGTGGGCCTCTCATTCATAATCCGACATGAATATGTAGCACCAATACCTCTTGCTCGTTACCGAGTAACACGAACTGCGAAATATCGTGTACGGCAGGGTACACTGAAAGCCAAGAGTACATGACCAACATTATCTGGTGCCGCTACAGCGTACTTCATCTTGTAAATTGAGGCTGGCGTAAAATCGTAGTGGCAAGCACGAGAGGAAAGAGAAAAAAGGAACGGCAGAGACGAGGTAGAAAAATTGCTTTGATATACATTCTCGAGCGTATCTCTGCACTTGACTCTGCTAATCGAACGTCGAGTTTGTTCATCTTTCCCATTGAGTATCCTTCATTCAGCCGTTCTAATAAATTCATCGACTATACATCGATAGCCGTTCGGAGCACCGCTTTTTATATTTTAACTCGAAGACGCGTTAAGCGTTTCGTTTATATTTAACTTACGTTCCCATTGCTCGATGTCGTTATAACGTAACGAAAATAAGTATGGGATATTGTCAACAAATTCCAATAGCAGCAGCAATATTCGAATACGCCGATTCCAATATCCCGATATCGGTATTTTAATATCAATATCGAAATTTAAAATGTGCTGATTCATTCGTTTTAAACGCGATCACAGAAGAAGGATTTCGTCGTCCTGTTCCAATTTATGTTTAAAGTTATCGATCAGCGTCGCGAATATGGTACAGAAACCTGGAACCCTGTGATTCGTGCAGGTAGTTGTTGCACGATAATAGAACTAATATAACGCTTGTATCCATTAACGGTGCAACTTCATATTTCATCGTTAGTACTCTTAATGAACGAAAGTATCGATCATCGAGAGTAACGTTCTCTTTCTACGAGAAGGGGACAGGAGATCCGCTCGACAATGGGAAAATAATTCTGGAACGATAAATTTTTTGAACGACACATTGAAAAGGATCCTCTCGCCGGCCAATTCGATTCTCCTCGCGGAAAGACGAAGTAGTCTATCATTCAGATATACGATCCGATTAAACGCTGTATCCTGTTCCCGCGAAATTTATTTGAAACTCGTGAAATCATTTCACAATCTCTCTCCGTCGCGCAAGAATATCGAACTCGGCTTCTCTAAATACCATTTTAGATACTACACCTTCGCTTTTATAACGAGAGTACTTTCCGTTCTACTTTACCGGCCGCGTCATTAAAATTCTAACTGGTCTATTAGGAGTTAAAGTCTTACTCGTCGCAGGAACGTACGACGTTGCCGTTGAAAAATAAATTTATCCCGCATTCTCGACTTATCCTCCCATCCGGAATAACCCGGTGTCATCCTATAAGAGGGAACAACGCGTAAGGTATCTGGAAAATAATGCATGTATGCATAAAATCGCGGAGACGAAAGGAGAGCTAGAGATTCCCATGAAAAGACGAGGACGCTCAGGTGTTCCCATTCAGTCACGGCTCGGGCGTAACTGGTCGCGCGACTGTTATCGATCAACGATGTCCAAAGTTCCCTGGAGAAATAGCGATCGCAACCGTCCGAAGGAGAGGATCCGACGGAAGATTAAGTGGTACAAAGGGAAAAAAGTCAGGCAAGCGGGAAACGAAAGGGAACGACGGCTAGTCGAGCGTTTCCGATCGTTGCCGAGCATCGCCGACACCGTGTGTGCGCGCGCGCGCGCGACCGTCGCCGGGTTCGAATGGCGCATGGTCGTCGCGAACGGACACGAGCGTTCGCGAGGACTCGTGCGTCTCTCGCGTATCACGGCCGGAAAAAGCTCGAAGCTCGGTGTCCGGCGGCGAGGCTGCCCCACGGCCGATTTATCGTCACCATAGTAGAGCCCAGTCCCGGCAACTTTTTGCACCGCGTTGACCCTCTCTCATCCTCGACCACGACCACCTTATCCGCAGAGGGGGGAGGCAGGACCGTGAACTGGGGCTGTGGGCCGCGGTGGGGTCGAAGGGTGGCGTGGAAGGCTAGAGAAGAGGGTACGCCTGGTTGCCCGGCACGATTACGCAACAACCATTGATCTCCTCGTGCCGATAGTTGGAACCTCGTGCTCCACGCGATGCCGGATTAACCCTTTCCCTCGATACGACGTATATATACGTTTTGCGGTAACCGTTATGTATCACCGATCTCTATATACGACATCGAAGATGGATGGTTAATCGGAAAGATTAAACGCGCGTTACCGAAACCTATCTCTCGTAGCGGAAACCGAGTTTCGATCGACCGCGCGTTTAATCCTTCTCCCACATCGCGAAGAATGTTCAGTTTCGTTTGCAAAAAACTTTTCACCGAAAAACGTTCGACTTCTCACATAGGAACGTTCTTCGGAAGAAAGCGACGCACCGTCTCGAGAGCAAAGAGACGGTTGCGTGGCGCGACACGGCGCGAGGCGGCATGGCATGCCGCGTATTCGCGCGCTCGCGAACGGCCGCGAGAGGAATCGCGAGGAGAGGGGTAGCGTGGAAGAGGATGAGATGCGTGCGATGGATGGATGGTCACGGAGTTCGCGAAACGGACACAACGAGGCAGGTAGAAGCGAGGAGAAGGAGAGAAACAAGGGTTGAAGGGGGATGAAAACGGGCGAGAGGAAGTTGGGGTGGTGACCGTGGTGGGGCGTGACGATTGGGCCGAGAGAGAGGGATACTCGGCCAGGTGAAAAAGAGAGGATCAGCGAGCCAGAGGGAGAAAGAGATAGGTGGAGTATCGGTAGAAGAGCGCAGGTTTGTAGGGTAGGAGAAAGAGAACAGAGGGACGAATAGTAGATACAGAGGTACAGGACGAACGGGAAAGAAAACAGGGGTAGAAGGAAAAAAGTAGGCATAACGGATGATAGTAGCTGACGCCTAGAGCGAGCTTTCGTTACGACACCGCCTTCCGTTCGCGATATTTCTTGGTCGGATAGTTGCCAGCAGCGGCGCGATCCCCTTTCTGCCGCCACCGCTACCACCACCACCGATACAAGCGTTGCCCACCTCCGACGTCGCTATCTTCCACCGTGGCCTCCGTCGACGGAGAACGAGAGAGAAAGATACGGAGTGAGAGAGAGAGAGAGAACGCGTATCGAAGGTAGAACGGCGGTAGCTTCCTCAGACGAGTTCTCGTCGGCGTAGCGCAAAGGTGGAGCGGAAAACTACTCCGTCGGTTGGTCCGTGATCCTCGTGGTCGGGTGTGAGGCGCGCGTGCGAGCGAGGCCGAGAGCGAAAGGGAGCAGGCGCGACCAGGCGAACGGACAGAAACGGTTACGTGCGCCTCGAAGCGAAACGGGAGAAGGAAAACATCAGGAAGGAAGGAAGGAAGGAAGGAAGGAACGAGGCGAAGAGTCGCGAAAGATTGCACAGTGTGTGTTCGTGAGCGTGCGTGCGCGCGTGTGTGTATGTGTGTGTTTGCGCGCGCGTGAGCCAGTGTAGCCGAAGAGTGTAGCCGTTCAGATGATAGGTGCCTCCCGGTGGAGGCGCTT